AATTGTCAAGGAAAAGAAGAATACACGTTTCAGATATATGCCCACTAAACATCATATTAACTATTCAAGTTGTCAAATTTTATATAGATCTGTTAGTTTCCACAATAAATCTTGATATAAACTTCAATAACAAGAACATCCCACTGGAAACTATTTAATATACCAATCAAGAAAATAACTATGTCTTAACTTGAATCATAATCAAAAGAAAATTGGATGATCTTACAACTTGATAGTAAATCTTGTTGCCAAGCTAATTTTGTTTGGCATTATGTGCATTATCATCATCAACATGCAGAGCTTCTAACTAAAAACATGGAAAGACAAATGAGGATAGGAAAATAATGAAATGAATGGAGTTTTAGATTCTACTCCTCTGCACCTAATTGGGCTAATGAAGATGAGCAATGCCATGCAGTGTGCACTGAAAGGAATTTTGCCAGAGCACCTGCATTAGCCAACTCTATTTTGATTTTCAAGTTGAAAACTGGGTCTATAATGTGCACAGCTGAACGACTAAACACTTTTTCTATGTCAGACCCTCTTACCTGCATCACTGACAGGGGGTTACTGAGTTGCCAAATCCGAAGTTATCATCTCAACCTATGCCGAGATCGAACCCTGGACCTTCAGCTTAGAGAGCAAACATCCCCAGCTCCCAGAAAAATAATGAAGGACTGATTTTGAGTTTATCAGTTGGTTGAAGTACCTAAATGCTCCTTTATGATTTTGAGAAATTGATAATTTTTGACTGAAGAAAGCTGTGAAGTGATACAGGAAATGGATTGTAAGGCCCTGATTGTTCACAAGGATTAATTCAGTGGGCAAAAGGGGAAATTTTGCTAATAATCTGCTCAAATTTGGTTTTTGAATATGTCATGGATAAGTTGAGCAACGAAGAATTCACATGAGAACCAGTTGAAACAAACAAGATACAGAAATACACATGTTTCAGATATATACCCACTAAGTATCATATTTACTATTCAAGTTGTACCAGTATAAACAAGAATGTAAGTTCCCAGAACAAATCTTGATATAAACTTCAATAACAAGAACATCCCACTAGAAACTATATTACTAATATACCAATCAAGAAAATAACTATGTCTTAACTTGAATCATAATCAAAATAAAATTGGATGATCATACAACTTGATAGTAAATCTTGTTGCCAAGCCACTTTTGTTTGGCATTATGTGCATTATCATCATCAACATGTATCTTATATGAAAGATCAATCACTGGAAAACCCTGTTCACAAAAGGTATGATTCCCAGTGAAGAATTAAAATTATTCATATGTGGGGTACAGAGGCAGATTTTACCATCTTAAAGGGATTTTAAAGAGGTTTCCTTAAATTTGTATGCGTATCAGGGACACTGATAGCATCAATTTGCACCATTCCAATTGTCAATCAGACGTCTTTGGTTTCTGCAATTTGGCTAAAACTAAGTGTTTTATGACGTAACCTGCGCAAAATTTGCTTCTATCACATAAGGACTTTACAGGGGCAACATTATTAAACATATTCATGTGGGTTCATAAAAAGACAATCGGTACAGATAAAAGTCTACAATACCTGTTTTCTATAAACCAAACCAGCTTCAAACATTTTTAGAAATATATACTGCGTCCATTTATAATATTTAGGATCACATGTGGCCAGTTCCTGTAGACAAATTATACAGTCAAATTAAATTCAAAAATTTATAATTCTCAAAATTTCATAAATAGAAACC